GGAAGCTAAAAGTATTTCGTGCTCGATAGTTCTCCTAAAAGCCCGCACAAGTTGAACTTAGAGATTCACAGAAAACAACCACCAATCTTTATCTTATAACATGAAAAACTATGATCGAAAGTAATCCAAAGGTCTATCCGTATTTGTTAATGTATTTTCAGTCACCCTTTTCGTTAGAAAGGTTCGGCTTTGATACCAGTGAGTATTTAAGATGGCAGACACCGATTCGATCGCTAATGATTATTTCAGCTGGTTTGTTGTGTTTAGTAGATAGGTTCTGATGTCCGCATGTTTGCTTATCTGTAAAGACTGTCTAGATAGTCATCAGGAAGAAGGAAAAAATATCACCCACACGTCTGGAGACTAGATTGCGCAGTGTTGTTATGAAAAAGACGGATGGAGTGAACCAGGATAGCCAGGTGTCAAAAATGAGACTCATAACTCTGCATGTTTAGTTTCGATCCGTCAAAAGCTTGATGAATGTCTACAGATAAATAATTGTAACACTTGTTTGAAACAGCTATCCGTTGATTTCTAGGCTCTTCAGTGGTATTACATGAAACGATGACTTTGCACCAGGAGTAAATTTCACTTATAAGTAAAACCTCTCAAGATGACTACACAGTATTCTTCTTTTACAAGATAATCTGGATTGGTGCCGAATTTGACTCTGATACTAGGTAAACAAAAAATCAGTCAAATGGAGGTCTTTTATTGGGATTTGACATTTGTTATGGATCAGAATGGAGAACGTGTATCTCTGGGTATCAATTCAATCATTCGTCATTGTTAGTTTACAGCTATGTATCCTTCTCTGGGTGATACCGATTCATCAGAATTTGCGAGACCCTAAAATTGTCAGATTCTAGGACGCCTTCGTTGTGATCATCATAAATCAGTAGATTGACATATGATTTAAACTAGTGTTGAATAAATAAACGTGCGTGTGTGCGAAATGTTTGGTTGATAACCAACTGTAGGGTCACAAAAAATGGATGGGAAGAAGCAGAGGGAGAACTGGAAACAATAAGCAAGGTGTTAGACAGGACTGAATTGAACAGGTATGCAAATATGAACATAAAGCCTGCAAATAAGTAAAGAAGAAGAAATTTGAAAGTGTCCCACAGAATTAAGGGAAAATCACTTTTACGACACTGGTAAAACCGGCGCCTGAACCAAGTTACGTAATGATAATGATCCTTTATTGCACGGTTTTTCGGATCTTCTTGGTAAACCCTTGTTGTGGTTCTTAGGCGCTGTGAAGAAACATTTTAATGATGATTCTCGGTCAGTTCTTTCTCCGCTGTCGACCGAATGTTATAGGATTGAGCTGTTCAGGTTCCTCACTGTTCTTCTTCAAGGAGCGGCCGGACAATATTCAAATTTTCTCTGGGATAAACGCCTCATTTTGTGGCCGATATGATAAGTATTACAAGTGTACGTGAAATGATATAGAGCAAAGGATTAAGACTGATGGGCTGATTTATCCTTCTGAACAATAACTGACTTAGGAATCAATGGAAGTCTTGAATGAGCGACGGGAAAACAGTTGACAATGGCTTTTCATAACCGATGTTTCAGGATGTTCTGTCCCCTCCAATGGTATATGCATAAACACCTCCTTTCTAACCCATTGTGCTTTCACAGCGGATTTATAACATGCTTTTCCTAGTCTGCTTCTTGATGTTTCTAGCTCCCATATTCCTGGTTCAACTCAACAACATTTTACGGTAGTTCATTTTAAAAGTCCTCTCATGTTTACACGCAAATACACATAGGATCTGGAATCGAAATCTCAATCACTTCAACTCACAGTCGATCGACTAAGTCTGGCACTGACCAAATCCGAGGAGTTGGAAAGTGCGAGCAAGGATAAAATGCAACAAATGAGTCTCAGTCTGTCAGATCACAATCAAACAATCCAAGATCTACAACAACGTCTGTCGCATCTACAGAAGGCTTTGACAACGTCCGAACAGGATCGGCGCATTGCACAGGTTTGTTCCTCAATTTCCTTGTTGAACTAGATGAAATGGCTACTACAGGCTTGCAAATTCGTTTGTGCTCATCCCAGCAAATGTGTTGAGTATTTATGTTCTTTTGCGCGCACCCCTTATTCCCCACGGATCCCACAGTGACAAATTACAATTTTTCCTCTAGGATGAACTTGTGAACCCCTATTACTCGTAAAAGTTATAAACAATATAGAATGATGTTTTATCGTGTTCAGTTTGGTCAGCTGCTTGATAGTACTCTTGCATTCTACCTTTAAGGTTCCGGTTTCAATACTCNCTCAGTTGGGTGGCCGGATTCACACAGTCGATGAGATCCAACCAACTGCTAATATTCCTAGTTTCTTTTTTCATATTCGGTTCACTTTCAGTTTGACGAAATTTATCATGGATCAAAATCAAAGGGGAATTTTTATTATGGGTGATTTAACAAAGCTAAAGCTTATCATGCCCCATAGGAAGTTTACAGAATATTTTGAATAACTTCACACAAAGAAAATAATAATAATAAAATTTACATAATCACTCACAAATGTTTCAAGTGTTCCAATGCTTTATCAAGTTGCGATTTAAATAGTTCAACTGTAGGATGGAAGAGAATTCCATACGCCGCATACTCTGACTGCAAACGAGTGGTACCGGCAGTCAAGGTGGGTGTTCTGGGTCTTCACCTTTGTTGGATGTCTCCTGAGGTGATGATTATGAGATAAAGTCAACATAGAACGGTAAGGGTGGTTGGGTTGATGCAGTATATAATACGCCAAGATTCGGTCCCTTCAAATTCGGTGATATCGAGATGAGTAGAGTCCCAATATTTGCGGTCTTTCGGAGTATGTCTTGTCGTACAGACCTTTTGCCGATTTTGTTGCCAGCCTTTGCGGACGTTCTAGAGCTTTCTTGTCGCGGTTTAACTATGGATTCCATACTTGAACGGCGTACTCCATGTGTGGCCTAACGAACGTTGATAGCAAGCGTGGGGAAAGTGCTCTTTAGAACTGCCCAAAAATACGTTTGAGTAGTCCAACTTGATTTAGAGCCATGTATGATGCTCTGGCACATTGGGTGGAACATCCTACGTTCTCCTGTACCGTAACTCCCAAATTTCTTTCATCAGTGGCATGCGGTAGTATTTGGTTCCCCAGAATATAGGAAAAACGAGTCTTATGCCGCGTGCATGATACAAACCAATCATTAGGTTCTTAAGATAATTTGAAACAATATATTTTCATAGATTAGCTATCAGTTTTTTCCTTGATGAATAAATCTGGTACGAAAGAGTATTGGAACCTTAATGCAAAGTTAAGATACAGTTCTTCGAATATCGTGCAAAAAATCCATTTACAAAGGCTCCCAACCGATCGGTCACCCCTTAGAGGCAGCTACCAAGATGAACGTGATTGGATGGGTTCTATTGCATCGCGCATAGACAAAGAGAAACAGTGTGATCGTTGTCTAGTGGTCTAGTGGATGATGTCCTTTGCGTTCGGGTCCGGACTGTTTCCTCAGTCGGGTGAATCCGTGATCGGCGTGGTTGAAACACAGGTAAAGAGATCCTCATATTCTTGATTACCGTTTTCTATGCATGAATAAATTCAGTGTGTTAAATTGATTTAGTAATAGTCGATTGGAATCTATCGTTAGTTATTTTGTTGACACAATCGACTCATTTCATCTTCTATTTTTGACAACGCACAGGAACGTTTGGATAACACACGCGTCATGCTCCAGGAACACAAACTTCAAAACCAACAAATGAGCGAAAGGCTTCAAAATCTGCAAAATGAACTGACCGATTTGGATATCAGACGGGGTGAATTGGAAAGTCAGAATCGACAAATCAATAACACGTTGACAAGACGACAGGAAACTGAACACGATTTGAATAAACAGTTACAAGCAGTAAGTTCGTTATGTATTTCTTTTTTCATTAATCGTTTTCGTGCTTTGGGGGGTTATTTACTGTCTGTGGTTTGATAAAGTTTATCACAGATGAAAATGAAATATTTTAATAGGGATACAACATTAGTGTTTTTCATATTTACTGACATAGCACATCTCATTTCACACAGAGGTATTATTAATAGCCCATTGTATCACGTGATTTTCAATTTGCATTCTGACAGATTACTTATTCTGTTTGTGTAGTCCAATAATATGTACACACTTCTCCGCTGATCTGATTATTCGTGATCGGAAAAGACCAGCCTATAATCAAAGTACTTTACACAGTGAACTGACAAAGAACAGTAATTATCTCAGGATTTTTTGATAAGAAATGATAACGAAATATCGATATGCACAGATGAAGATTTAGAACAAACACGTTCTAATAAAAGTCGAATAACGGATCAGTCATTGCTAATAAGATTCTCAAAATATTCCCAATGGTGCATAAGAACAAGTCAAGATGCAAAGACATTTCTTTTGGATTTTTCGCTTCAGGCATTTACATTTATAGTTTGATTAGTCAGTGGATTAATACAGTTCAGTTTCAGTTCAGTTTGTACAACCATTAACCACGCATATTCGTGCACCGGTTTTGGTTACTGTCTTTTGGCTGCCTATTTGGATGAAGAATAGGAGAGGAAAGGAAAGTTGAAAGTGGAGTCGAGCAGAAAATGAAGAAGTTCAGTGGTCTAAGGTTGCAAAGAAATTGAGAAGACGCACGAACGCCACTGTTTACGACACCCAGCCATATCACTCAGTGTATCCA